AACCCTTCCATTACTTTTTAAAATAAAAAAACCCTCCAAAAAATATTAAATTTTAAAGAATCACAACCCATTTTATTCTAATTTTAACAAAATGACTAAATTTTCCCTTTATTTTCCTTAAATTTAAATTTTTTTTTCCAAAAAATGAAATGTTTTTAAACCAATTTTATCCAAAAAAATTTTTCTGGACCGCTTTTTTTTTCTTATTTCTTTTTTTTTTTTTTTTAGAAATTCTCAACTTGAATCTGACGTTTGCCGTTTGCCGTAAACGCGACTGTAAATCTCTGTTGGTTGACGTAACAAACTTTACGCTCAATCAGTTCTTGGAGAAGTGTTTCGCCTGATTTTTTAGCTAGGTACCGTGCGGGATGTTGGGAAAATGAGCCAAGCTGAACAGTCTTCTGGTCTTGTGTGTCGGCATTTTTTTTGTGTGAATTATCAGTCACGGAAGGTTCTTGCCAATGATTTTAATGATCGGCTTAGCATACAGCATTGGTTTTGTACACAAAGTACTGGAGTTCAAAATGAAAGTCAGGTCAAAATGGTTTCAACTAGTTCAACCAGTTTGATTCTCTTATTTTTTCTTAACACCAACTATTTGGGTTAGGGTTGCGAGACAAAGAAAAAAAATCTACATGTATACTTTTACGAACTAGACTAAAATGGTTGACAATAGGCACTAAAACAATGATATAATGCCATTAATAATATGTCTTAGAACTAAGCTGAGTTTGAAAAGCAGTGCTATCTTATTTATAACTCCCCTGCCCCTCCCCAAAATACATGCCGTGTGAAATCCGAGAAGAAGTGCGGATACAGTGAACCTCGTTCCCACGGTTCTCTCTTGCAAAGCAAGAGAGAGAGAGAGAGAGAGAGAGAGAGAGAGAGAGAGAGAGAGAACCCTGGGGACAAGCTTGGGGTACAGTGTGTTCAACGGCAACGAAAACGTCAAAAAAGCAATAGAGGTGTGGTTACATTAGTCATTGATAAGAAAAATTTTGCGGTGCAGCACGCTTTTTGGTACATCTCCTTCCCGTCCCTGCACGACTCAACTTGAAACTTCCTACTTTGAAATTTCATGGAGGACGTAAACGAGTAGCGACGAAATTTTCGATCTCTTTCTGAGCTTGAATATCTTTCGTAGGAATTCAACGCCAGGACAGCTACAATTGACAAAGAATTCAAAGTTATTTGGAATAATCGCGATGGAGAGTGAAAGAACGTGAATTCAATTTTTAAGCGATGTTTTCGCTGTCTATTGGGTATATGGACACCGGTAATTGGGAGAAGGGGGTTATACAGGCTAAGGGGGGGGGGGGGTTGGGGGGGGGGGGGGGTATTTTT